CGTTTTGGCCTCGCAAAGCGTGGCAGGCGTGACACTTCCTCGACGCCACAGGGGGTGCGCTGGGGGTGCAGTCGCTATCCGTTTCGGGCTCGAAACGTGTGGCAGGCGTGGCACTTTCTCGATGCCACAGGGATTGCCCTGGGGGTGCGGTCGCTATCCGTTTCGGCCTCGCAAAGCATGGCAGGCGTGGCACTTTCTCGACGCCACAAGAAGTGCGGTGGGGGTGTGGTCGCTATCCGTTTCGGGCTCGCAAAGCGTGGCAGGCGCGGCAACTTCTCGACGCCCAAGGGAAGGCGCTGGGGGTGCGGTCGTTATCCGTTTCGGGCTATCATCACTCCAGCCATAATCGAATTATGTGTGGTTCCTCGGTAGCATCATGTTGTAGTATGCGCTGCTATGCCCTGGTCTGTCACAGTATGCGTGTTATGAATATCGGGGAGACGTAAGACTCGGGTAGGGGGAACTCGGGTTGGCCTGACGGGGCCATCACAAAAATGGTGAGACTCCATCTGAAAGTTGACGCAAACTCCCGCTGCACAAAAACTTGACCCTCAAAATCCGGGACGCGCCCGTCAAAAAGCGTCGGCGAACCCGACTTCCGGCCTACTCTTAAGTCGGGCGTGTCCCCCTACAGGGGGATTTTCGACGAGAAATAAAAGATACCCCAAAAATAATCAAGAAATATTCCAAAAATAGTCGGGGGACAATTTTCTAGTATTGTTTGACCTTTTTGGCGCATTTTTTTTGTTCGTCGAAAATCCCCCTGTAGGGGGACAGGCCCGACTTAGGCCTACTCGAGTCTTACGTCTCCCCGAGAATAAGGCGCCCTTGGTTGCCACGTTCTTGCTGCTGGTTCTTGATGCCTCTCCTTGGAGGCCTGGAAATTGGCACCAACACCAGCACGGGGGTTTGCCTCCACAGGGAGATGCTGATCCTAGATGTCGGTGCTGGCGGTAATAGTTCGGCCACCTTGGAAGCCAGAATATTACCGTCATCGCCGAGATCGGCATCGCCTTCCCTCGGTGGAGGCACACCGCCGATCTTGGTGTTGGTGTCAATCTCCAGGCCTCTTGCATCTCTGCTCGCCCAGGAGGAGGAGGAGGAGGAAGAGGAGGTGGAGGAGGTGGAGGAGGTGGAGGAGGTGTTGGTGTCAATCTCTACAGGACTGCGATCTCCGTGGCGCCAGGACGGCGCGACGCCTCGATGCCTCCCCCCCCCCGAACGACGGCCGCCCGGCGTGCCGGGCGCCGCCCCTCGGCCGAGGCGCGAGGCGCGGGGCGCCCGGAGGCTCCCGGGATCGCGTCGGGTCTGGCGGCAGAGGAGCAACAACAACAACGACGACAACAGCAACAGCAACAGCAACAGCAACAGCAACGACAGCAACGACAACAACAACAACCACAACAACAACAGCAGCAACAACAGCAACAACAACAAACAACAACAAACAACACCAACAACGACAACAACAACAACCACAACAACCACAACAACACCAGCACCAACACCAACAACAACAACGACAACAACACCACCACCAACACCAACACCAACAACAACAACAACAACGACAGCAACAGCAACAACAACAACAGCAACAACAACAACAACGACGACAACAACAACAACGACAACAACAACAACGCCAACACCAACCTCAACAACAACAACAGCAACAACAACAACAGTAACAGCAACAACAACAACAGCAACAACAACAACACCAACAACGACGACAACAACAACAACAACGGCAACAACAACAACACCACCAACAACAACAACACCAACACCAACAACAACAACACCAGCAACAACATAACAACCGCAACAACAACAGCAACAACAGCAGCAGCAACAACAACAACAGCAACAACCACAACAACAACAACAACGACGACGACAACAACAACAACAACGACAGCACCAACACCAACACCAACACCAACACCAACACCACCACCAGCACCAACAACAACAACAGCAACAGCAACAACAACAACAGCCACAACAACAGCAACAACAACAACGACGACAACAACAACGACAACAACAACAACACCAACACCAACACCAACAACAACAACCACAACGACGACGACGACGACGACGACAACAACAACAATGCAATCATACACCGGGGGGTTTGTAGGACACTGAATTCCCGTGCAGGTGGGCACTTCACATGCCTCCTCGTTTGAGGCCAGACGGAAGCTCCACGCGAGCAGACTTCAAACACTGATTGGGCGGAGGGAAGGAACGAGGGGGGGGGAGGGGGGGGAGGAAACAGAGGAAGGAGGGAGGGGGAGGGGTCTGGCCTTGGACCTCTGCTTAGTGCGACTGCTTGCAGCAGGGCGTCCATTATGGGAGGGGCTCCACCTGCTCGAAACAGGCGCCAAGAGCAGCCAAGATCCACTCCAGGGGGTTCGGATGGAGGGGGGGGGGTGCGAAGGCCCGCGCCGATCGGCAAAATAATGAATAAAAAACCGCTCACCATGGTGTCGAGGACGCGGGGCGGGAACTTTGGAGACGCCTGAGATCCTGCGGGGTCTGGCGACCGCGGTGTGCGGCGCGGACGAGACGGGAATCCGTTCCTTGAACTCTTGCAGCCCAGACCTGTCGGGTGGGGGAACAACTGCCCACGATGTTCTTGTATGTTTAAATCTGGTATGTCGTCCCGGCTTCCATGCGTTACACTATAGCCTGCTGTGCGTCTGTACGAGATTAACTATCTACGGTTGTGTGATGTGTTCGTGTGCTATGGTCTCTCCTTTTTCCCGCCGAGCATACAATACCCCGCGATACCTACACGACCACCCTTTGGGTGATCAGGAAGGTCGGGGGGAAGAACAAACGTCTCACTCAATCGATCTCACTACGGGTACTATCGATCGAATTATCGATCTCACTATCGATATCACTATCGATCTCACTAGTTATCTCACTATCGGTCACACCATCAATGTCACCATCGATCTCACTATCGATACCGCTACCTGTCTCACTATCGATCTCACGGTCGAACTCACGATCGATCCCGCTATCGATATCACTGTCGATCTCACTTTCGATCTTACTATCGATCTCACAGTCGAACTCACGATCGATTTCAGTCGATCTCACTAAAGACTATAGATCTCGCTATCGATCTCACTATCGATTCCACTATTGACCTCACCATCGATCTCACTATGCATCTCACTGTCGATCTCATTACCGATCCCCCTCTCGATCTCACAAGACACCACGAGCCACCACGGGACACCGCAGGACCTCGATCACGGGACACCATCGGGACACCATCGGGACACCGCGGCGGGACGCCGCGGACACCACGGGACACCACGAGACACTGCGGCACGCCATCACGGGACACCGTCGGGCCATCGATCGGGACACCAGCGGGGCACTCCGTCGGGGCACCCCGAGCACCCGCCCGCCACGCGGCCAGGGGGCGGAGGGGGGGAGGCGGACGTCCGTCCTCGCCGCGCCCTGGCCAGGAGGAGGGTGCCTTCCTCTCGCCCGGCCACGCCGCGTCGCCTCCGCCCTCCTGCACGGCACGAGGCCGAGAGCGGAACCGCCTTCACGGTGGGGGGCTCCCCGCCCCACTTCGATCCCACCCCCTCGCCTCCGCTGACAGTATGTCAGGTGTTGGCTAATTGTTCTGTGTGGTATACCATTGAACGCTAGCGGCGTCTCGTGTATTCTGATGTGTCAGGGTTTTGCTCTAAAGATTTAAGCACGTACTTGCGCAGCGTATTATGCCACGTCCCGCTCACAGTATCGTAGTCAACCAAACCACACTCGGTTACAGTATAGTTTGTTCTAGTTCGTCTTTTTCACGAGTATACACAATTGCTTTGTCATGCTATGTCTAGGCCATCGTTTGATATCAACTCGTCCTTCAATGCTGTGATTTTAGGTGTATATATATATATATATATATCGCACTGCGTTGCAATCGTCAATGCGTTATGTTATGTTCTGGTTTGGTATGTCGTAGCATGCATCGCTGTGTCATGCTATGATATGGTTGTATGTGTGTGTGAGGCTACGGCTGCCAACTTATGCTGTCATGTTACTATAAATTCAACATGCAGTATTCTGCTAGACTGCAGCATGTTACGTTCTGTGTTGAACTACATGAGTGTCCAGGGATATACGCGATTGCTCGATTTTCACTCACTTGAACTATGTGAGCGTTATTCCTGAACTGTGAAACTCGACATGTTGATGTTACGTCTTCATTGCTATATTATGCGTTGCCCTCACTGGTTAAAGGCAATACTGTGCGATGATGACTTCTGCCATGGTATGTTTTGTCATGCTATGTTATGTGGGTATGTTCACCGGTGGTCTGTTCTGTACTGTCATAATATGCTCTGTCTTGATATGTTGTGTCATGTTCTGTCCTGTTCAATGCTGCCATGTTTGTTCACGGCGTCGGGGACCAAACTAATGCGGATTCTCGGTGGACCTGAGGGTGTGGCGGTCGCGGTATGCAGGGTAGGCGGCCAGGAGGTCTGTTCTTTAACTCTGACAGGCCAAATCTGCCCGGGGTGGGGGAGAAACGGATAATCAAAGAACGACCTGGAGCATCAAGACTAGCAGTAGCCAACGACGAACGCTACTCCTAGCGCGAAGCGTTGTCCTCCTCCTCTTCCTCCTCCTCCCTCGTCTTGCTCATTCTTGCTCCCTCTTCTCATGCTCCTCCTTCTCCTCATCATCAGCCATCATTATCTTCGTCCTCATCATTGTCCTCGGCCATCCCAACGCATGAGACGTCTTGATTATTCGATACGCGGTCCCTGGAAAAAACAGATTCCTGACCCTTTCCCCACGGCCGGTATTTCACACCGGCATGTTGTTTGACGATTTGGAGGCCCAACCAAAGCTTCCGAAGGCTGAACACCGCCGAAACTCTTCCGTGGTGATTTGCTCACGAGACTGCGAGCATGGTCCTCCTCCTTCCCTCCTGCTCCTCGCCCTCCTTTGGGGACGCCTCCATCTGCTCCATGCGGTGCTCCATGAGGCCCACCTGCTGCTGGAGCTGCAGCACCTCTTGGCGTTGCGCGAGGGCCTCGGGCCGAGGCGGAGGAGGCGGATCCCTGAAAATTCTAGGCTGTTTGGGGCAACCAGTCATGACATGATCGCGTCGAGACTCGGGCCGGGCAAAAGGGGGGGATAGCAAAGGGGGGGGTGAGAATCAGCTCACGTAGCTGATTTTCCCGGCGCCTCCCGGCGCCGGAGGGAGCTATGCATCGAGGAATGGGCCCCTCGGTGAAATCCCCCCCTTACGTCCTGCCCGAGAGGAGGAGGCGGCGGATCCCTGAAAATTCTAGGCCGTTTGGGGCAACCAGTTATGACATGATCGCGTCGAGGCATAATCACGACGGGGGCGTGCCCTAACCTTCCAGGATGGCTAAAAAATGGCATTCGACTTAAAAACCTATCCCAGAGCTATTCTAAGTCTTGGTTTTAGGCTGTTTCGTGTCGATGTTTTGGTTTTTAGGCCTCCCGTGCTAAAAAATAACTCTCTGGAAGGTCAGGGAAGTTTCGTCTCGACTCGACTTGCATGGCGGGAGGTACGTCCCCATCGGCCTCTGCGGGGGGGCTACGAACGCTCGCTGGATACTCTCGGCGAGACAAGGTGGCGCACTCGGCGGGCTTCGGTGTGGACCCTTTGCCCTGAAGCCCTGGGCAGCCCACGCACACCTCTTGCAAGCCAGGCGGAGAGGGAGAGGGAGAGAGAGAGGGGGGAATGGACAAAGAAATGGGATGAGAGAGAGAGGGAGAAAGAGAGAGAGAGAGAGGATATATATATATATATATACATACAAAGCCATAGACCGCTGGAGTCATGGCGACATATGCTCAAGAAAGAGCGAGGGAAAGAGAGACACCTACATCTATATATATATATACATATAGATACACACATGCACATGGAAGGATGAGAGAGACACACAGAGAGAGCGGGAGAGAGAGAGAGGGAACATGATAACGATACACACATACATTCATATATATATATATAGATAGAGAGAGAGAGAGAGAACGAGAGAAAGAGCGAGACAGAGTGTGAGAGAGAGAGATGGCGGGACACAGCAACATTGCTACAGGTAAATAAGGAGGAAGGCATCCACATGTGTAGATCGACATACATAAACATATAATGAAAGAGAAAGAAGGAGTGAGAGGGGGACATGCAGAGACATCACATGCAACATGAGCGAGAGCGAGAGAAACACAGAGACAGAGAGAGAGAGAGAGAGCGAGAACGATGCGAACAACAACACAACTAAAACACACCAGCGAGAGAGAACGCGCGCGCGAGAGAGAACAGAGAGACCGCAGAGACCACACAAACACACAGACCCACATATACGCCACCGTGCCTCTGGGCACTGAGTGGGCATGTCCTCAGGTCCTATGCCCAATCTTCCAAGCCTCAATAGTTACCCCTAGGAGCCTTAAAAGGGCCCGCAGCTCAAACTGCCAAGTTTGGCGGAGCTTCTCGCGTGCCCCCGGGGCTCCCCCGAATCTTGTCGCGTGACTTACCTGTTCGGGCCCAAGGGCCCCAAGACGGGCCAAGAGGGCCCCAAGAGGCCCCGAAGACAGTCCAAGAGAGCCCCGAATCGTCGAACGATCGCGCCAAGACGCTCAAGATGGCCCCCAGACGGCCCAAGAGGCCTCCAAGACGCCTCCAGAGGCCTCCAGGAGGCCTCCCAAGAGGGCACCAACAGGCAAAACTCATTGATTGCCCTTGGGTGTTGGTTTTGAAATGTTAGGCTTTATCGCCTTTTCGGGGTCCAAACGGCCGAGCAGGGCCCCAAGACGGCCCAAGAGGCGCCCAAGTCGGCCAAAAAGGCCCCAAGACGCCCCCCAAGGGGGCCCGAGAGGGCACGAACCGAACATCCGAGACTTCCGCCCCACGAAGCCCACGGGAGGCCCCGAGGAGGCCCCCAGAGGGGCCCAGTGGGCCCCAAGAGGCCCCCAAGAGGCCCCCAAGAAGCCCGAAGAGCCATCAAACCGCCCCCCCCGGGAGGCCTCACGACCGCATCCAAGAAGCCCCCGGGAGGCCTCGCACGAGATCCCAACGAACATCCACGAGGCTTCACACCCACAACCCAGACACGGTGGCGGGATGGGCCGAAAGCCATGATATCCGCCGCCCCCTGTCGATTCATCGCAGGGGTGCCTGGCGTGCTGGATTTTTTCGGTTTTGGTTTTGGTTCTTTTTCCAATAGAACTCTCCCTCCCAGTGGGTTTCGGCCCGTCCCGCCGGCCGCCCCCCAAGACCCGCAAGACGCACACGCCATCGCCCAATCCCTCCGACGTCCCGAAAAAAATCCTCCAACACGACTCAAGATGGCTACGTTGGCCCAAGATGGCCTCCAAGATGGCCTCCAAGTCCGCCCAAGATGGTCCAAGACGGCCTCCAAGACGGCCCAAGAGAGTCGAAGACGGCCCAAGACGGCCCAAGAGGCCCCCCAGAGGCCTCCCAGACGGCCCAAGAGGCCTCCAAGAGGTCCTCCAGAAGGGCCCGAAGAGGCCAACATCATTGATTGTCCGTAGGTTTTTGAAGGATTTTGGAATTTGCTTCGTCTCGGCAGTCCGACGGCTCAAGACGGTCCCAAAGGCCCCTAAGATCGCCCAAAAGGCCTCCAAGAGGGCCCCATGACGGCCCAAGTGGCCTCCAAGACGGCTCCAAGAGGGCCCCAAGATGGCCCAACAGGACTCCAACACGCCCAAGATGGCCTCCAAGACGCCCAAGATGGCCTCCAAGACGGCCCCGAAGCGCCCCAAGAGGGCCCCAAGTCGGCCCAGAAAGGCCCCCAAGACGGCTCCCGACGGCGTCAGACGTGCCAGGAACCTACCAAGATGGCCGAAGTTGGCTCGAAGCTGGCCCGAGACGGCCCAAGAGGCCCCCAAGAGGGCCTCCAGGAAGGCCAGAAGAGGCCAAAAACATAGATGTTCCTGAGGTTGTTGACGGACTTTGACATTTCCTTCTTTTCGGCCTTCCGACGGCCCGAGACGGCCCAAGAGCCCCCAAAGATCGCCGAAAGATCGCCCAAGAGGCCTCCTAGACGGCCAAGATGACCTTCAAAATGCCCACGTGTTCCCCGAAGGCTTTCCAAACCGATTCGGGGAACACATGGTCCGATGGCTTGGCAGGTCTAGCCTCAACGTTCGGCCACATAGGCGCTTCCAAAAAAGGCAGGGGGCGGCGGTGGTTCGCCGTAGGCGTCTTCGATCTGTACATTTATGTATATATGTATATATATATATATATATATATGTACGCGTGAGTTTATTGATTAATTCTATATCTATAAATAAAGAGAGAGAGAGAGAGAACAACACAAGAAAAGAAAGAGGAAGAGAGAGAGAGAGAGAGAGAGAGAACGAGCTAGAGAGAGAGAAGGAGAGAGAGAGAGAGAGAGAGGCGCACGCACAATTTGGATTAACGATTGCAGGCGACCTCCTCCTGCGTCAGCTCCCCCTGCTGGCCCAGCCCTTCGCCCACGTAGGGCGGCGGAGGCTGCGAGGCATAGGCGCTGGCAGCAGCCTGGCGCAAAGATCCCTCCTCTCCCCCCTCCGCGACCTCCTCGCCCCTCCCCCCTCCCCCCTGAGGAGGGGGAGGAGGGGGAGATGAAGAAGGATAATAATTATGAATCCATCCTATCCTGCCATCTTGTTTCCTCCCCCGCTATCCCTGGCTCTCTCTCTCTCACTCTCTGTATGTACTCCCTCCGCTCCACGTTCTCCCAATCCTGTCCCTGCTCCCTCTCCTTGCGCCCTCCCCGTTCTGCCCCTACCGCCGTGCCTGCTACTCCACATCTGCCTCGGCATCCCGCGCAAAAGGGGGGGGCTGATGGAAGAGCCGCCGCGAAGAGAGGAGGCTCGGAGGAGGTGCGGATCGAGCGCGGCCATGCGAGGGGGAAGAGGATGGGCAAGCAAAGGAAGCAAGGCGGGCCGTGAAGAGAGCGGCAAGGGATGAGCCGCGAGGGGGAAGGGGGGCGGGGCAGCAGGGCCAGGGCGCAGGGGGCAGGGGGAGGAGGAGGAGGAGGAGGAGGAGGAGGAGGAGGAGGAGGAGGAGGAGGAGGAGGAGGAGGAGAAGAGGAGGAGGTGGAGGGAGGAGGGAGGAGGAGGAGGAGGAGGAGGAGGAGGAGAGGCGGGGAGGAGGGGAGGGCGGAGAGGAGGAGGAGGGAGGAGACGGAAGGAGGAGGAGGAGGGAGGAGGGAGGAGGAGAGAGGAGGAGGGAGGAGGAGGAGGAGGAGGCCAGTAGGAGCAGCGAGGGGCGCGATCTCCGCTTCTCTGCTGTGTCCCCTCGCCCCGGGCTGGCTCTGTATATCCGCCACACGTTCCACGCATGGGGGCTCGCGAGAACGGGTCGGGCGGAGCTGCCTCCCTGAGCAAGGGGTGCTGTACTCCGCATCGGCGGCGCACCGAGGGGGGGGGGAAGCCACAGGGGGGCAGGCCTCCTCAGCTGCCGCGCGGGCCCTCTCGCGCGCCCGGGGGGTCCGGCGAAGGCTTGGGACGCTTCTTGGAAGGCCAGGTGCCTCCTCAGCTTTCTGAGAATCAGGAGGGGAAAAAACACACAGACACAATGAATCGTCGAGTCCAAAGAAAATATAGGAAAATATGGGAACTGGACGGGAAGACAAAAACCTCCAAAAATATATGAAAATATGGGGAATATCTTTATTTGTGTGTATTTATTTGTGTGTCCCAGGGCCCCTTCAGAGAAGGCCCGCGCGCCACTGGCTTTCCCCCCTTGGCGCGCCGCCGGCTGCCCTGTCTCCACAAAGGGAAGTCGTGTCCAGCCTGGCGTGCTGGACCGTCCATCGCGGGAGGCATCGGCCAGTTCCCAGCAGGGGGTATCGCATCGGCTCTCGTAGGGGGTTCTGTATGGGCACTGCGAGGACTCCCGTAGGGGGTGCCGTAGTGTCTCCCAGAGCAAATTATCGCATTTCCCTCAAAGAGGGTATCATGCATTCGAGTGCAAGTCAGACGCTGCCTTGTCGCACTGGAAGGACTGAATGGCGGACGAGGGAGGGAGGAGGAGGAGGACAAGGAGGTGGTGGAGGAGGGGGAAGGATAACAGATGTTGAATGGAAATGAACGAGGATGGCGGACGACAAGCGTAGGTCTACGCTTCCAAGCTGGGGCCGCCTGGTCGTACTGGGGCGTGCCTGGAGGCGCGGCTGACAAGGCCGCTCCAGCGAATGGCATTGGCACGAACGCTGGGACTCGTAAGCCGGTGGTTTGCACGACACTCCGTGAATCCTTCATCCTCCGCTGCGTCCGTCCCCATTCTGTCTCACCCTAACACGTTGCACGACCGTCTGAAGCTGTGTCGCTGCCTCCTGCTCGCCAGCATGATCTGTCCTACTCCTGATCTGCGTACTGCGCCTCTGCCTCAACAGTCGCCGACGCGTCCCAATGACAAACCTCCGCAAGTGCGCGCACATGCGCCACGCATATGCAGAGCATGCCACCCAGCCCGGCAGGGAGTGAACATAATGCGGCTGTGCGGGGCGTGGCGCACGCTTGTCCGGGCCCGCAACGCACATGGGCTCAATAGCGTGCAGAAGGAACGATGTGGGTGTCCGCAATCTCTGCCATCAACATGTACGATGCTTCGTGCCAGCGTAGGGTCATGTACCAATCAATACTCATCCACCCTCTCATCTCCCTTCTCCTCCTCCTCCTCCTCCTCCTCCTCCTCCTCCTCGTCGATTTGTCCCAACCCTCATGCTGTTCCTGCTCCTCATCCTCCTCCTCCTCCTCGCTCGGTCGTTCCCAGCTTTAGGGTATAGGTTTGAGGCCCGATTAAGAAATGAGATGACCAAGAGCAAGCTGGGAACGGCGGCGACGAAGATCCCCGAGACCGCGAGCCGCCCGGAGAGGACAGCCCCGAACCCACGAGCCGCCCGGTGAGAACAGCTCCTCCTCCTCCTCCTCCTCCTCCTCCTCCTCCTCCTCCTCCTCGTGCAGCTCCATGCAGCCGCAGTCCTGGCACTCCCCTCCCCCCCCAAAAAAGCAGTGGCACGCCCCACGGAGGCACAAACAGGAGAGGGGGAGAACACGGGAAGGGGTAGGGGCCACCTTGGCTGCAGGCCAGGCGTCGCGAGCGCAGGCCCCCCATGGAAACGAAGCGTGCTCGCAGGCGCAGGCCCCCAAGGCATACACCAAGCCACGGCGACACCGCACGCGTTGGAGGGGAATGCTGGACCCTCCGACGGGTCCGTCCGTCCGCACCGTGGTCGTAAGCCGGGCCGAGATCACGAGGACGTGGCACGACGAGGTCGACACGACCCGCCGTGCTGCAGAGGAGGGGTCACCAGTTCCCTCTGAGGTGTTGGCTCACCCTTTGTGTATTGTCACCATTTGCTACCGCACCCTCGTTTGCCTCCTCTCTCTCCCCCGCCCCCTTTTCTGTTTCCTCCTCTGCGTCCTCATTCCTCCTACTCTCTCTCTCTCTCTCTCTCTCTCTCTCTCTCCTCATCGTCTTCGTCACGCTGCCCTTCATCCCGTCTCCTCGTCGCCAGCCCTCCCCTCACCGCTCCCGCCCGTTGCTCCTCCCCCTCCTCCTATTCCTCCCTCTCCTCCTTCCACCATTATCCTTAACCTTTTCCTCCTGACATCTGACACCTGATGGCTGCATTGTCGTCTGACGAAGCCTCCCTCCTCCTCCTCCTCCTCCTCCTCCTCCT